TTGGTTCTTGATTTCAAGAAGGGATAAGAGCAGTATTTTTACGGTTAAAGTCTTCTCTTTGGTGAGAGAAGCTGGGCTTGCCCCCTCACAGCTCTCCAGTCCCTATGGTATAGAGACCCCCGTGGTCCAGGGGATGTAGAGATCTGCCTCTTGGTCATGTCTCAGAGCAAGAAGTAAACTTTACCTTCCCAAAGGCAGGACGTTGATCCTCCTCTTCACCTCCCCCAGGCGCTCAGAATCACGGGTCAGAGCAACAGCATGGCTGGGGAAGGACAGGAGAGATGAAACACCTGAAGCTGGAAAATGCCACAACCCAGCAGGTAAGAATGGCCAAAGGATGGAGAGCAGGGAGTTGGTCACCACTGCCCAACCCCTGCTGGGTTCCCAGTTGGTCAGAGCCACACAGGAACATGGGGAGGTCCTGTCCCAGTCTGCAGGTTTCCCTCTGATTTGTCCCCACCCCCTCAGAGGGGGATGCACTCCTGGGCTCCAGCAGAGCAGGGCCCCGAGGCTGGAGAAGGCTCCTCCAGCCAGGGCTGAAAGGTGCTGACCTGAGCAAGAACTGGCTCCATCGGATGGGCTGAGCTTTCTGCAGGTGGGTGTAGCCAGGCAGGATGACATCGATTTCTCTGTGTGGCAGAGGAGAGAAGGAGGTGAGAGCAGCTGCCAGGATGGAGGGCAGGGGCAGGGCTGTAACTCCCCCCTGCTGCTGCCCCACTGGTGTCTGTCAAAGATGAGCCTACAGGTCTCCTGGCCCAGCAAGGCCCTGGATTTGGAGAAGGACTTACATGGCAGCGCGTTCCACCAGGGTCTTAATGAGCTGCAGGAGGTGTGTGGAGATGATGGAGAGGGAATTCTTCATGAACAGCTTCAAGTCAGTCACAACCTGTGTGAGATTGGCCACAGTGAGACCAAGCAAAATGTGACAGTTCTGGTGACCAAATATTGCTCAGCAGAAAGCCTTGGCACAGTTGTCCCCTTGTTCTGTGTCAGGGAAAGGTGCATCTTCCTCTCACCAGATCTATCCCTGGTCACTGTCTGTGAAAGCTGCTGTGTGCTGCTTTCCATGAACAGAACCAGAGCCTGTTCTTTTCCATGGACTTCCCAGGTATCTGTTAAGTTTGAATCAGAGAATCTTCAACAAACACAAGTCAGTCATCAGTAGAAGGACTGATCCCAGCCAGCAGTCAGGGTTTCTGTGGGTTTTCAAAGCAATGTCAGGGGAGGTGTTTTTTTTACCACCAGGAAGCAATCCTGCAGATCCCATTCTCCTATGTGGATGAGTCATTGCAGCATAACTAGTTTAAAGCCCAAGTACATGCTGGAGAGCGTCAGGGCATGTGAAAGATGGCATAAAAAATTCAATTAAGGAACTGAAATGGGGGAGGAATACAGGAGGAAAAAAAAAGATTCTGTACATACCTGATCATTCCTGCTTCTTCCAGTGTGCAACTTTCCAGCTACGTCTCCAATCAGCTCCTGAGGACAAGAGGAGGATTTCTGTCAGTGTCTCTGTATTCTAAGCAAGAGACTCCACATGAGCACATCTCCCTGCCTGGAAGGGACTCAGCTCGAGGATCCTGTGAGTAGCCATGGGATGTGTTCTGGGGAAGGGCAGGTTTGGGTTCTGTGTTTGTACAGTGGCACTTCCATGGAAGGGGGCTTGGAGACACTGGCCTGTGCACTTGGGGTCCAGAGGAATTTCACAGAGGGACAGAGGCACATGCCCTTAACATCAGGCAGATCCAGCTACAGAGGAACAGGAACAAGAGGACAGAGAACCCAAACCTTTAGCCTGCGTTCGTTGGCAGTGTGGATATCCTCATCAGTTGGTTTCAGCACAAAGACTCCTTTGGACCATTCCTCAGAGATCTACAAACATCAGCAGATGATGTTTATTATCACACCATATTTATACCACGATGATTATTAAATACAGGGAGGCTACTGTCAGGTAAGGAGCCATTCATTCCAGCACACATGACAGTTTGTGAAGGAAAGACTTACCTTTTCCAGGCCACCCAGGATCTTCTCCAGCTCGGTTTTTGATAGGATTCCAGCCTTCTCCAAGGCTTTAGCATAAGCCATGCTCCCCTGAATATCAACTTCAGACAGTCTCTGATCAACAGTAATGGAAGCATTGAGCATCTCCATGATTGGATCTGTGCTTCCACTGAATCTTCCTCCCCAAAGTTTATCCCCCTGAGAGAGAAAGAAACAAGTTAAAGAGGCCTGATAAATTCATTTCAGCTTCTGTGTACTATGTAATATCTAATGATCTGTTTATCCAACACAGTGGCCATGCCACTGTCCTTTCTGACCAGAAACACCCCTGGACTTCAGGATCTTTGGAAGTAGTTGAAGACAAGGAGGACACATCACTGTCAGTATTATTTACCCCTGAGGTGTGATGTTTAGCTCAGGAACCATCCAAGATACTTTACCTCTGCAGGGAGTCCTTGAAATTAATATCAGGGCACCTGGTACCAGACCAGCATGGATTTCTCTTTTGAGGCAGCTGCAGGTCAACAACCCTTTGACAGCCTTTTAAAGGGGGTAAAAAGTAAAGCAGTAAGGATTAGAGTGAAAGTTAGTATGCTCTAAGTCCTTTTTGTGCCGTTTAACTAACAGATTGTTCTTTGATTGACAAAGAGCTGTGGGCCAGCACAAGCCACATTATGCTTTGAAGTTACCATTTGAAGCATCTCCAGACTTCATGATGTGCTTGCAGGCTTTGGTGTAAAATCAGCATGATAAGATGCACATGGCAGAAAGGGAATTCCAGGTTCAGGAATGTTCAGAAAAATAAATCAACAAAAAGGTGCTGAAACACATGGAAAAAAAAGGGGCTTTTTGCCACCCAAAGCAGGATTCACAGAGTGACCTCACACACTCGAATGTGTCCCCTGCACAGCTCCTTCACTGGGTGACCAAAGGCAGGTACACAATCCCAGCAGGGTGTGTGGGACCCTCTGCCTCCAGTGATTCAGCACCTGGATGGACTCACTGGCTCAGCCCACGTGTGTCACCTGTTGAGCAGCTTTTTGCTTGCCCAGGTAAGACACCCCCCAAGCCTGAACTCTGCCAGACTTGCACTGAAGTAGGTAAGAATTTTACCTGTGCAGAGGCCTTAGAGTTTATCAAAGACTTCAAAAGCAACTCTGCGGTGCTCTCAGGCACCAAAAAAAAAGCAATCGAAGGACACTTGAAGTGGATAATAATTAATAATCTACTTGATTTTCTAAACACCCCTGCCAAGTCTCTCCTCCTGCTGTTCACTACAACTACCATGGACAGCAAAGAGCTGGCAGGACAGTTGTAAACTGATCTGTGCTGGGGCTTTACCAGTCACACAAAGCACTGTTGAGTAACCTCAGGAATTTTTTCCCTAGTGACTGTCTCTGTGTCTGTGCTGATCCCTGCTGAAACAACGGGCCTGAGAGGACAGCAGGAGAGACCCTACAGAGGTAGGAGTGTGGGCATGTGCTTTTGGGTATCTTTAAGGCAGCTTTGTCAGAAAGCTGAGGGAAGGCAGATGGGGGGATCAGAATTTAAAAAGAAATGTCAGAGGTCCTCAGCACTCATTTGGTGCCCCCAGGAGCATGGCACAGGGGATGCTAAATTAAAGGCCATTCCAGAGGTTAAGCACTGGACTGGGGAACAGAAATTTCTAGGTATAACTTAAGTATTATGGGTTTCCACCAAAGAAGTGGGTCAGCAGAAACATTGCAACACATCCATTTGCAATCAGAAAATCTAAACTGAAAGATTAATTTTAGGCAGCTGCGGGGCTCTGGTTGGAGCAGTGGCTGTACAGCCTGACAGATGATGGGCTGTAACCTGGAGCAGAGGAGGCCGGGGCTGTAGCAGCCATTTGGAAGCAGCAAGTGTGACTCGCCAAGCTGCCTGGTCACGTCTCACCAGGGAAGGAAACCGAAAACGCAGCTTTTGTTCGGGGAGGTGTTTACCCAAGCTGCTGGAAAGTGCCTCCTGCCCAAACACAAGTCGTCAGGCACGAACCGCATCGCTTATTGGCCTTCCCCAGGTCCGGGGCAGAACCTGGAGGCTCTGGGACTTACAGTTTAACTCGGCTGAGCCCCCCGGAGAAGCAAAGTTCACCCTCACCTCGGCTGCCATTCCGGACGGCGTTTGGCGACCCCGCAACTGCAGCGAGCTGCGGGACGGGGCGGGGCGGTCAGGCTCTGATCCAGGTCCCGATCCCAGTCCTAGTCCCGCTCCCGATCCCCGACGGGGTCCCGCCAGCCCCCGGCCCCGCTCCGCCCGCAGCCCCGGCCGCTCTCTCGCCGCTCCCCGCGTTCACAGCCCTCGGTGCGGGGCCGGCGGCTCGTCCCGCCCCGCCGGGGCGGAGTGTCCCCGGGCCGGCCCCGCTCCTGTGCCCCCTCCCTCCGTGTCCCCGTTCTTCTCCCCCCTCCCTCGATGTCCCCGCTCCTGTCCCCCCTCCCCTCGCAGGGGCTGGTCCTGCTGTGCCGGTCGGAGTGCGAGACCACGGCGCGGATTGTCCCTGTGCGCCGTCGGATGCCTTAGAGGAGGCTCAGGAATGGCATCCCCCGTTTTCTTGTCCCTTTTCGGGTTTTTCTGCCCTTTAACCAGCCCTGTTGCCGCAGGACCTGGGATAATTCATGTGGGAAGGGACCTAGTCCCGGTGTCTTTCCTGTGTTTTTCTCTGCCCGTTATCCACTCCCCTCTCTGAGCTGAACTCTGGGGCACGGTGGGATTGCATGGATGGGTGTGGGAATGCTCCTTTGTGGAGCAGAGAGGATGCTGCCTCTGGCTGCCCAGCAAGGACCTTTTGCAGCTGCATTTCCAGTGTACTCCCTTCAGTATCAGTCCAGAACAGGGCTCAGGCTCTGTACCTAGCCAGCAATTAATTCACTGCTTCTCAAACATTTCCACTTATGATTATTTCCTTTCCTCTTTCAGACTTCCAGATGCACAGAGCATCATGATGTCTACCCTGAGAGCACCTCTTTGAACCACTTTGTTGCCAGATTCTTCCTCTTCTGCAGTCCCTCACTTTTAGTGCTTCTTTCGTCATGTTCATCTTTTATGGGTGTCTGTACTCCAGGCTTTGACAGGAGGTTGCTGAGGGTTTGAAAAAACAGTGAGCACTAGATTTACATCCAGAACAAACCACTTGATAATCAACCTACATGAATTGTTGGCTTAAGTGCCTTCCTGTGGTCTGTAATGAGCAGGGATTTGAGACCAAAACCCAAATCACAATGAGTCATAGTAGGGTGATGGTGAAAGTCTGAAGATAGTACAAACTCCTGTAATGTTTGTGGAACTTCAGAGACCTCCACAGGCCCCTCTAACCTAAATTATTTCACAATTTTAAGAAAGGGGTGGATGGGTGGAAAGTACCAGTGACTATGAACTACTTATTTAAATAAGAGACTGAGATGTGATAATCTGCTAAAACTTCCCTTTTCCCTTCAGTTTGGCAGGGCCCTGTGTCACTCAGCACTGGCCATGAGGAACAATACCAGACATTTGCTGCTGGGAGCAAGAGGAAATCTGTTCAGCTGAGGCCTCTGAAGGTACTTAGCAGGAGCTGGAAGATACAAATAGGGAAAATGAGGGGAGTGGCACAGATTAAGAAAGTTTATGGGAGGAAAAGGAACTACAAGTTGAGGATGAGGAAAACTCCCTTCTTCTGACTCTGTAGGTGCTGAGTCTTGGGGTTCCCTATAACTTTCTTGTTCATTTAGCCTGTTAGCTCGGTGTGCTTAAGTGATTTTCTGGCAACAGATCTGGAGAGTGAGACAGGAGCCAAAACAGAAACACAGCAGGAAGTAAAGGAGCAAACAGAAAGGAGGTTTGTGGACAGGTACTTGAAATGTGCTGTTCTTTAAATGCCAGGAAAGTAGATCAGATTTAGGGCCAGAAAAAGGAGAGAGAGTGGTGAGAAATGTTGAAAAAAGGGAAGTTTGCTATTGCTGGTCCTTCTACCACATGTTCAAAGCACAAACAGTCCAAAGTAGAATGAAGGCACTGTGTCTCCTTTGTTAATGGCAGGAGATTTAGCTCCTGGCAGTTTGTACTGTCTGTACTGCAGCCCTTGCCCCAAACTTGGTGAGGCAACACTTGTGTTACTGCCATTACCTGTGTGTCTCACAGAGCCTGAGTCAACAACGTGCTGCTGCATCAGCACAGAGAGAAGGTGCTGAGCGAGATACCGGCTTTACAACACTGTGGCAGAAAAGAAATTTTGCTGGGTAAAAAGGGACAACCAATTCCCTTTTTCGATTCTGCCAGCCTCCCCTCCAAGAGACACATTTACGAGCAAGAGAAGAGCCCACATTCTCTCAAAGCCCAAACCTCACGAGGGCTGAGGGAGCCCAACTTTGCGCTGAAGAAGAAAGACGCAAGACAGGAGTTTCAGCGAACTACAGACACCCCAGTGTTTATTAACTGCAGATTAGTGGGATAGGCACAACGCTGCATCCACGGGATCTC